GGTATCAGAAACTTGTACCTTCTCCCTTTTTTCCTAAGTATGGGTAGTCATCAATTTTATTAACTTTCTCCCCTAAAGGCATGTTTTTAAAATTGTTTTTAAATTTATTGTTTTTGTTTTTTGGAGGAGGGGAGAGGGAGGAAAGAGAGAGAAGAATCAAATTGTTGTTCCACTTACTTATGCATTCCTTGGTTGACTCCTGTATGTGCCCTGATGGGGGATTGAACTCACAACTTTGGTGTATTGGGATGATTCGCTAACCAACTGAGCTATCAGGCCAGGGCCCCAAGGGCATGGTTTTGATTTCACTGACCTTCTCTATTGTTTTCTATTTCTATTTCAAGGACTTTTGGCCTTTTTATTTATTCATGCCTTTTTTTCCCCCAATTCACTTTGGGTTTCATCAACTTAAGACACAGAGCTGAGATCTTTGTACCTAATAAAAATGTTTGGTACTTTAAAAACTTCATTTTTCCATCTCAGTACTGCTTTAGGGCCACCCCGCAGACTTCAATGTCTCATTTCTATTCCCTTTTGAGTCCTCCTTTGATCCATAGCTTTAGAATTATGTTGTTTAATTTCTAAGTATTAGAATTCCAGATATCTTTATATCATTGATTTCTATCTCATTCCATGTGGCCAGAGAAATATTTTGTACAATTTGTATTTTTAAAAATTTACTGAGACTTGATCCGTGGCCCAGCCTACGGCTTCTTTTGACAACGCCCCAGGTGCGCTTGAAAAGATCGTGCGTCTGCTGCTGTTGGGCGGTGTGTTCTAGACACTCCAAGTTGGTTGCTCGTGCTGTCTGTCTTATATATGATTGTGGAGCTTTCAAATTTGTAAAATTTTTAGTTCTTCTTTAAATATTTTTCTCTCCTTCCTCTCCCACCTTTTATCCTTGCACTTTCTTTCTGTACCCTGTGCATGTTGGTGTCCCCTCTGGGTTTCTTTTCAGTAGTTTCTCTTTTCATCTTCCAGTTTACTGGTCTTTTATTCTTTAATGTCTTATCATGTGTTAATACCAGCCAGCATGTTTTTCATCTCAGACATCGTATTTCTCATCACAGTGAGATCACCTTAGGGCTTTTTCATATTTCCCATACCTCTACTTGCATGTTCAATCTTTCCCCTACCTTTTTTAATATGTGAAGTATATTTATAATGCTTTACTATCCTCATCCTGTAATTCTACCATCTGTGTCATTCCTGAGTTTTTCTGTTGACTGACTTTTCTTTTCATTATGGGATAGTAGTTTCCCACTTCTTTGTACATCTGGTAATTTTTGTATCCCAGACATTTTGAAATTTAGCTTGCTAGGTATCAGAAAGATACATAAAATACATATATTCACTTATGTTATGAATATATACAATATGTATAATATACATTTATATACACATACATGTGCGTCCATGTAAGAAATGAAGCATATCTGAACTGCCTCCCTCTCCTTTTTGCATATTTTATATATATTTTTGTGGGATGCAACTAAGTTACTTGGAAACATTTTGATCCTTTCCAGGCCTGCTTGTAAAGTTTTGTTAGGCAGAATCAGTGCAGCCTTTAGTTTAGGGCTAATTTGACCCCACAGTGAACCCGATAACCTTCCAACTCCTCTTCCAGATGCCCCAGCTATTAGGGTCCCACTCTGGCTGTTGGGAAGTCAACTAACCCCAGCCCTGAGTGAACTCCAGCAATCAGCCCACCTGCCTCTTTCCAGAGGTTCTTTTCTGGGCCTCAGGCAGCTTCACAAGCATTTGCTGACCATGTTCAGTTGGACTTGGGTGGGGGGCCCTCTCTCTCCAGCACTCTGTGCTGTGAATTCGAGCTGACTTGGTCTCCTGGAGTGAATTCTCCATTGTGTTTCCTCAGCCCAAAGGGACTGAAGAGCCGGGAGCTCCCCTCCCCGCTGCCACAGCCTGTAGACTTCGCCCCTCAGGCAAGCTGAGGCAACCAGAGGGCTGTGTTGTGTTTTTGAGACATCTTTGTCCTGCATGCCTCTTTTCCATCATCTAGAAACTACTTTTTCAAACATTAGGGAAAACCCAGCCCTTGTTGCTCTATCATGTCCCCAAGTGGAAATGGCTTGTTGGACTTTGAAAGTCTTAAAGTGTTTATTACTTAATAAGCACCCACTGAAGCAGGCCTCATCTAGCTGACTGGGACGGAATGTAACACCCCCCCCCCCGCCCCCACACACTACTCAAACAGGAAACCCTGCGTTCACAGTGCAGAGCCATTTTTCACTTGCATTTTAGTTCTATCACAACTGACCGGGACAGAGATCCTCCTCCCATGATTTTTTTGTAAGATGCCTGCAATCTCAAAAGCTGCTGCAAACATCTTTAAAGCTACTATAAATTAATTTCACTGAAAAAAGTGAAAGGCCAATGTAATATTTGAGGCATGAACACTTGGAAGAAAAGTCAAGATACCCATCTTGGGTGGGAAGCAGTAGTTTATGAGCTGAAGCTCTCTGCCCTGCTTTCAGAGAGAGAGCTCTCCCAGCTGCACAGCAGGTCAGATGGTTCCCCAACAGGCAACCCAGGGCATGGCCTACTCAGCCCAGGTTCCTGCTGTGTGCTGTGACCTGTGCCTTCCAGGAACTCTCTGAACTGGAGCTTGGCAGAGAAAGTGTAGGTAGGAGGGAGTGAAGAGCATCCAAACTGCCCCATCCCCCTTGTTGTTAGAAAATACAAAACCACCTTGCTACCTTGGTGAGCCACCAAAATCTCTGCATGGTGCTGGCCTTTCATGTGCCTCCAGGGGTTCAGGGATGCCAGATCCGGGCCTTGTAGCTCCACAAGTGGCTGCTTTGCTGCAAACTGTAGGTCTTGCCATGGACTCTGCTTTAAAAGCTGGAAGGATATTCCTGAGTTTAGGAAAGCAAGAAAGTACTCTATTTAAATCCTTGAGTGGTCACAATGTCATGAGTTTGTTAAAGTCTTAGTGGGGAAAGAAGGAAATCAGAAGAAAGTGGTTTCCTTTTATTTTGAGAAGGACTTCCGCACAATTTGGATCCTGTATTTTTATGAATGGGGAAATACAATCAGGATCTTGAAGCCACGTGAGAAACAGACCTGCCTCTTCAGTATGATTGACACGGGAGGACTGTTAGGTAAGAAAAAAAAAAACAGGAACAAATTTAAAGGACACATGGACAAAAACTAGGAGGAGGGTGGTAATGGGAGGGAAGTGGGGAGGGTTGGATGGGTGGGCTGGAATGGGAGTAAAAGGGAGAAAACTGTATTTGAACAAAGATTAAAATAAAAAAAAATTTAAAAAAAAGAAAAAAGGATGAAGCTTATTAGCACATGAAAAAAGGCCAGGAATTTTGAACACTAAAACCTGAGTTGACCTAACAGAAAAGTCACTTTTTGTGTGTTAATCTGAAACCTTGGCTTTTAGTTCAGGAGGCCTCATTCTGCTACCCAGAACTCTCACAAGTGGCTAATATCACTGTTCCTCATAATATGTACATGTTGGTATATAATTGGTATATAATATATATAATGGTATTATTATATACCCCAGTATCCATCATTTGAATGGTGCCTCAGTTAGTGGGAATTTTTCCATCCACTGATTTTATAGTAGACACTGAGTTAAGGTATCACGTCCTTCTTGCAGATGAGGAAATTGGGAAGTTTCAGAATCAGGAAGGGTTAAGTGACTTGGCCAGTGTCTAAGTGCAAGGACCCAGACAAAAAAAAAGACTTCAGATTGCAGATTCTGTGTTCTTTCTGCTAGAAGGTGCTGCTTCTCTCCAGGACTTGTGGGAGGTCCTGCCCAGGTCTTAGGCTAATGCTTTATGATTGTTTCTTTGTTCCACTCAGCACATGCTGTACCACGTTGTGTCTGCATGTGGCTTAGTGGTATGTTTTCCTGTAAAGGCCACAGGGTCTAGAATATGGGACTGGCCAGCCTGGCATCTAGAGGGCTTTGGTTGTCTCAGTTCCCCTTTTACCGTCTGGTGTCATGTGGTACTTACTTTGCTAACTATGCTTTTGCAAAAAGAAGCATAAATCAATTAGGTTCATATGGAGAAGAGCAAAAGCCACCAAGAAATGTTCCTGGGGATTGGTCTTCATAGCTTAACTCTGGGAGGGTGCCTAACGACAGGGCCCGCTTTCCGGCTTTCAGATAATTACAAGTTGTTCCAACAAAGGTTGGAACAACTGCTTGCTGATGGCTTGTAGAGTGTTTAATGGCTAAGCCTTCAACACAGAGTTTGTTAAACTACAGAGTAAATAATGATTTTTCATATGACCAGACCACTGAAGGAAAGTGACACTAATTTATTTCCTTAAGAAATGAAATACAAAAACTTTGTTAAGTGGCCTGGTATCTTCACTGATTTCCAACCTGTCCACCTTTTCCAGATTGAACCAAATCAGAAATTTAAACTAAACAATTGGATAGTTAGGGATGCCTGAATGCTTTTCAGCTACGTTTACATTTTAGTTGTTTCCAGAATGTCAAATACAGGGTTTAATGACCTCTGTGAAACATAGCAGACTTAAATATTTTACAGTAGATGCCCACCCACATAACTCCGTCATGGCACTGAACGCACTCTATTGTAATGACTGGTTTTCCCTGTGAGACTGCCATACAGATAATGTTCCTACTCAACTTGGTGCACCAAGAGACCTGGCAGAGAAAACTGATCTTTTAAAAAAGATTTTATTAATTTATTTTTGGAGAGAGGGAAGGGAAGGAGAAAGAGAGGGAGAGAAAGAAAGACACCGATGCTCAAGAGAAATACCAACTGGTTGCCTCCTGCATGCCCCGAGCTGGGCACCTGGCCTGCAACCCAAGCATGTGCCCTGACAGGGGACTGAACCAGTGACCTTTTCATTTGTGGGACGATGGCCAACCAACTGAGCCACACCAGTTAGGGCTGTACAACTGTTTTTGATGTGACCAAAATTATATAGAAAAAAGATAAGTACACCAATATTTCAAAGTCTTTTTTTTTTAACTTTTCACAAAGGATTTGCTGTCAGCCTTCAAGTCATCTTGTCCAATCCGAAAGCTGTTTTTAAGCGCCGTGGATCCCAGCCAGGGATGCAAGAATCTGACTTTCTAAAACAGATAACAACAGTTGAAGAACTGGAACCGAAAGCAAGTAACTGCACCAAGGTATTGATTTCACATGCGCTGCTTGATCTTGCCCAGTGTCAGCATTAAGAGTCTGGCTACCCAAAAGGTTTCCCTCCCTGCCCTTTAGGTTCTTGTGTGGCACACTCGGACAGAGAAGGTTAATCTGGCCAACGAGCCCAAGTACCACCTGGACACAGTGAAGATTGAGGTATAAATGGAGGCAGCAATGGATGCAGTCTGTGTGGCCAGGGGATATAGAAGAGGACGTTTTGAAGGTTAGGCTACAGAGCATTCAGGTATTATTCATTTCACTTCAGTACAACAGCCTTTATTGACACCTGATGGACATCTGGTTAAACAGAGCTCGTCAGTTAACATAAGCTAATCGGATGGTATAAAATGTGTTTGTCTCCGTTTGTGTTACATGTTTCCTCTATAACTAAACTGGAAGATCTTTGCACAGCACAGCTAATGACACTGCAGGTACCATTCTGAGTATCTTACATACTTTTCTTTTTTCCCCATTTGGCCTTATTAGAACTGAACAGGTTTTAGAAACAGATGACAAGTATTTTGTCAATTAAATTTTGTCCCCAATTCCTGACTCCACAACATTTAAGTAATTTATGTAAGGTTGGTGGCAGCACACATTGTAGGAAATAAAACCCACAAATAAAAGGTTTGTGGATTCATCTATTTAATATAGGGATAGAACATTTGTCAATACTAGGCACCATAAAATGTAAACACAATTACTGTCATAAACCTGGATATACCTTCAAGGATTTAAAGTGGCTTTGTTTAGTTACCCTGTTCGCATAGAGTGCAGAGAAAGGTCTTCATGCTAGCACTATGTACAATATGAGATCCAAATTACAAGAGAGGCAGACAGAATTTGAATTCTTTAAATATTCATTAAACTAAGTTTTACAGTAACATCCAGGTTTATCTTCCTTTCACTAACCACGTTCCCTGTTAAGCACATCATAACAACAGCACAGTGAAGTGAATGATGGAATAAAAGAATTTTGATACACTAGAAAACAGTGCTCAGTGATACATTTACATTCTATTTATATGATTAAACATCTGATCATACAGTACCTTCCTACGAGATTACTGGCTAATTTGGGGGTGGGGTTTATACTGTTAGATGTATTACTAACATGATAACTATTTCCCTTATATGCAAACATTAGAGCTATAATTTTATTAAGAGTAAAACTGATTTTGCAAGTTGACTGAGCAGCTTCTCAAATAATATGGTTTATGAAGTTATGGGAAATATGAGCAAAGCTGCCCTGGACATAAAAGTTTCTCAACCTGCTTTTCGCCACATCAAATTTCAGCAGTACAAACCAACACAGTCAATCAGATGATTCTTAATGTGAACCAATGGGGAAAAAGAAAAAATATGTATATACAGGAACAAACAGGGGTACTGGATGCATTCAGCAAGGAATGTCAGGTGGTAGTTCTGGATGAAACGCACGTTGCAGTCTTCATTTCCACAGCTGTGTGCTGAGAGTCTGACCCGACGAGCTCCCAGACCACCCCGCTGTGGTGCTGGGGGGCTGGCCGAAACCCACCGCAGCATTCGCACTGCCGACGCTCATGCCAGCCATCTGCTGATTCATCTGGGAAACATATAAATGGCTTAGTTTAAGAAGCTTACTTCATTTTTTTTAATTGTTCAATTAGAGTTGTCCCCAAGCTTACTTCGCTTTTTTGTTTTTTTTTAGCCGCAGTTAGGGTAACTACTCAAATGTCTATTTTAGTAGAAGCAGACAACACAATTATTTCTTTGCAGAAAACAAACAGCTACTATTCCCTTCCTGTTCTTTATTTCCTTCCAACTTTTAGCACTGTCCATAAAGTGCACTCCAACATATTTGTTCATTTTCTATACTCAATTCCTTGTCCCTCAAGGATTAACCACAACTGAAAAGTGCCAAAGCAATCTTCGCAATTGTATCTGGGTGTATGGTTGAGTCCACTATTCTAAATTTCAACTGTACTAGTGCTTTAACTACTGAAGACTGGAAATTTTAGAAAGTAAAATACTCCAAAATTATAAATTGTGTATCACAGCTATTCTGCCTTCATCAAAATCTTAAATGGCTCTATATACTTTCTATATATTAAAGGTCAGAAAGGATACATTTTTCTTTCACTTGGCTAACCATAAACATCTGAAGTTTTCATTCTATAATAATAAGGTATAAGACTTCATACATTTTTCTTTCAGACTGAAGTCATGTATGTGTATTGTATGTATATAAGCATCTCAACCCTTTCCCTGTGGTTCTTTTACCTCTAAGATTGATAACAGGTTACAGAAAGGCAAGAGGACTGACTATAAAGTGCAGAGTAGATTCAAAACCTATGCACAGGGTTCAATTGTATTCTTAATAAAGTTTAAAGTTGCAATTTTTTAGATACTAGTGTTAATCACATCACTAGTGAGACATGTGTCTGCAGGGACAGATCACTTCTGATACCTACGAAAGGATGTTTTAACCACCCTCTCACTGGCCAATAGAACCCACAGGTAACTCCTTACAGGTTGATCCAGCACCTTAACCTCAGCTGGCTGTGGTTCAGCATTTTGGCTACAGAAAGCTTTTACTGCCATTTGGTCCTTATAATCTTTGAGATTCCTAGAGAGTACAGACCAATGGAATACAAGATATTACTTTAAATAGTGATAGTAAAAAATAATTTGGAGCATTCATGAGATATGCAGTGATTTTGCTAATATTGGTTAGAAATCACTACAGATGATTCCTTGAGTGCTCTCGAGGTAGAACAGCTGAGCAGGAGCCAAGGTCATGAAAATGCTGCAGAAACAGCAAATAGCAAGTGTAAAGGGAAGAAGAGCAGGACCATGAACCTAAGTCTGAAGACCTTCCTATGGGGCCAGAGAAAAGTTAGAAGACAGCACCTAAAATAGAAGTGGGCTTCAAGGAGGTTGTACTAATGTGTCCTCTTGTAGCTCTAAACTAACTGAGGTAGAAACAGGATAATGCAGATTGGTTCATATCTTACAGGAATCCTTGAACTAGTGGGTACTTTCTAAAAGTATAAACCTAATTATAGGATAAGTAAAAGGAAACAGAACTTTACAAAGGTTTTTGAACAAAAAGATTTTTTTATAAATCCATGAACCTTAGCCACATGACTTGGTGACCTGCCTAGACCCCTCACAAAGCAGTGCTGTAAGAAAGACTATGAGACTGGGGTACTTTGTGAAAGCTGCCCCAACCTCCTGCCCCCCAAATTAGTGAAGACAGGTTGGGTGGTCTAAGCAGACTATAGAAACATGCCACCCGGGAGCTGGATTAACACTTGCTGCTAATTTCAAAGATGGCAGACAGTCTCTTAAAATGCCCAAGATAATTTCTAGCTGTCACAACTAGATTAGGGATATGCACCATTAACATTATAACCTGAAATGACAAAATGCTCAACACTTCTTTACAGAATACTCTGAACACAGGGGACGATGACAGGTGATTTGTCTGATATAACTTCATTATCCCTACTCAATTCTTTCTGCTGTGTACACTGTTAGATTTAAATGTGAACAAAACCATTCAGAATGTAACCTTGTTTCTCTGACTTTGGGTAAATTGGGGAGCAGAGGGCCCTTACCTGCGACAGGCTCCACTGGGGTGGCTGGGCTTGTGGCAGGCCGAACTTACTCTGGGGCGCACCCATCTGTCCCACCATTCCACCTTGGGGGGCAATCACATTCTGCGGCAGTGGCACCACACCAGTTTGTGCACTTCCCACAAACCCATTGGATATGGGCATGCCCACCATCATGCTTGCACTCTGTCCCATCACATTTCCTATGAGGCCAGGGGCTGCAGGCACAGGTACGCCCATTGACGGAAAACCTTGAAATGCAGTTGGTGCTTGTGAGGTAAATGGTATATTTGTGGGTCCCATAAATACACCTGCATCATAGGAACCATGAAAAAAGAAAATGAATCACAAGAACAGACCTATTGTACACAGCTGCATTCACCTCTATGATTGCACAGCAAAATTTTACTTTGGGTTTGGCTGCTCCTATTGTTCAGACCAACTCACACCCTACTATCTCAGAGTTAATTAGTTCCAGAACGCACATAAATCCATTATGAACCTGAGCACTTTTAATCAGAATAAATAAATCTGGTAATAGTATATGTTATAATAAAATATCCACTGTGAGTGAAGACCAACTGCATCGCATGAGAGGCTGCGCCATTTCTGCTGACTTGCACCACTGGTCTCCACCCCCAGACACTCCAGGGAGAGTTCTCTGTGTCTGGCTTTAAGGCAAACAGGATGTCAAATTTCAGTTCAGATAATGAACTGAAATAATGATTTTAAGAGAGAGTCTGACAGATTTCAACTATGTAAACAACAAATTTTACCATGCTAGTATTTCATTATACTTATTTTTAAAATTTCAAACCTTTTTTGGAATTCAGGTGATAATTCAGACTGCTTATTATTTACTTGCAGAGAAGATACCATACTGTACACAGTTATAGACTTCATGCAAATCAAACTGACATAATTCTTCAAAGATAATCCATGTCCTCCTAGAAGCTTGTGAAACAGTATTTTAAGTGATATGTGAACAGCTTGTTAATTCTAAATGAATAAAGTTTTGTGAATCCTGTACCTGCTTTTTAATTCTAATAATTCATTTAGTTCTGTAGTTCTGTAAATTGCAACAAAGCACCCATTACACAAAAAAATGGGAAAGAAATATAACTGATACTATTATAACCACAAAGGATATACTTCTAGCAATGTTACTGCGTTCCCTGAAAGCAGAGTCAGAGCGCATTACCAGGAGTGCTCTGCTGCTGAATGGTCCCCGCACCATACAGAGATAAAATGGAGTCTTTGGAAAGTTGTTTCTTTGCCACTTCTTCTGACTTTGTTGTTTGGTCAGTGAAGAGATCCAGATCCCCAGATGGTACTGTAGACACAGTGGCAGCTGCTGGTACAGAGGACGTCCCCTGAGACAAACACCAAAACATGTTGCTGAATTCTCCATACTAAAACATGGGTCATTCATTGCTTCAAAACCAAGTATAGTTATGAAATTAGAAATTCACAAGTTGTAGAAGGTAAAAGAGAGACATTAAAGTTCACTCACAGCCCACACGAAAACACCTAGGATAAAGGTACAATGTTTCTTATTTTGAATGTATTAATGAAGAAGAGGTAGACCAAAACTGCTTCATAATAAGTTGTGTTT